AATTTTTGACAACCTGATATTAAATAAAGATCCTACTTTTTAAAAATCTGCTTTTTCTCAAAATTGGTTAACCAATTTTTAAAACATTTTTTTAAAATTTATTACCCATTTGTTCTTCTGAGACATAGTCATTTATATCTTCTGCCCATTGTTTTTTTAATATTATGTTGCTTTTTTGTTTGCTAATGTTTGAACATCTCTGTATATTCTGAGCATCAGATTATTTTTCTCTGTTCCATTTGTTGAAAATATCCTTCACAGTATCTCTTTTATCTCTTTTGCTTATGTCTTTTAGTTATGGTAAATTTAAATAAAATGGGTAATCTTTTCATTTTTTTTCCCAGAAAAATGTTCATGTCTTTTAATATAAAATATCCTCCTTTAATCCATTCAAAACATTTTTCTAGGCTTACTTGCTCATGTTTATTTTCTTCAGTCTATCTATTATTGTGTGTGTGTGTGTGTGTGTGTGTGTGTGTTGTATGAGATAGAAACTAGGCTATTGTTATTTGTTTGTTTTGTTTTTCCAAGTGCAAAGCCAGTTATTCCTCACATTTTTTGAAGAGCCCATTCTTAACATGTATTTAATTTTTCCACTACGTATTTCTGTTTCTGGAGACTTTGTCACATTACACAATGTTGATTTAAGGCTCTATGATGATACTTCCTTTCTCCTACACCACAGTTTTAATGACTGAATTCTTATAGTGTATTATGAAAGCTGGTAAAGCAATTTATTCCTCATTTTTTTTCTTCTAGGAAAAAAAAGACCTAGGGTCTTCTCTATGTTTCTTTCCCAGATATATTTTAGAATAAGTTTACTGAATTCAATTAAAATAACATGGAGAATTTTTTGATTAGAAGTATATTAATTTAAGTAGGTTTCTGGGGTGCCTTGGTGGCTCAGCCAGTTAAATGTCTGACTCTTGGTTTTGGCTCAGGTCGTGATCTCACAGTTTGCGGGATTGAACTGTGTCAGGCTCCACACTGATAGCAAGGAGCCTACTTGGGATTCTCTCTCCCTGTCTCTCTTCCCCTCCCCCGCTTGCTCTCTCTCTCTCTCTCTCAATAAATAAATAAATAAATAAATAAATAAATAAATAAATAAACTTAAAATCAATTAATACATACATACATACATACATACATACATACATAAAAACATTTCTGTAAATGCAAGTATGTTGCCTGGAAGGTATGTTTTATGGTGTATTATGTTAGGAAAAATTCATTTATTATTAGAGAGTTCCTTAGCAGTTTAGAAATGGGGCACAAATAACTTGTTAAGACCAATGAGTTGTTTTCTGTATTTCTTCATCATTTACCATGATTATATTAAAATGGCAATACAAAAAATTGGGAACCCCAAAGAAAACTAATGGGAAAGCACTCAGGAACTAAGTGTAACAGGAGAAACAAGAAGGATTAGAAATACTCAAAGAAACATGTTGTTCCTGGCTCTGCTCTGGCCTGTATCTAGAAATATAAGCCCCAGCCACAAGTGCAAGGGCCCATCAACCTCTTCATACCCCAAGGAGCCAAGGGGGTAGAGACAAACATATACTTTAGGAGGAGGGGCGTGGGTAATTGCACTGTTCTACTCATGCACAGTGGGTATCCACACTGCCTACTTTCTGCCCATTTCTTGTCTGGATCAGTCAACCCCTCCTCTGCAGAGAAGTCAGTGGAGCCCAGACTACAGAAGCAGGCACTTGACTTTCAGACCTGCCAGCTTAGGTTTCTGTCCTGACTCTGGCCAGCCATGAGCCTTTGGGCAAATTAGCCCATCAGAGTCTTAGTTGTAGAAACTTCTGGAAAGCCAACAGGGGGTACCTTATGCAGATAAACTAAGCAATAACATACAGAGAAACTTTTTCAAATAGGTCAGTGGAGGTTTTATTTTACACAGCAGGAAGTGAGTGGACACACTACTTAGATGATTTAGACTTTAGACTGTAGATGCCTCCCTGGGAGTTCACAGAGCAGTCAAACATTATATTTAGGAGACACAGGAAAAGGAGGCTCTGGAAGAAAATGAAACTTCCTTAAGTATCAACCACATAGAGGACAATGTTATATCCTGGAATATGCAAAGCAAATTAGGTAACTAGGATATGACAAATTCTCCATTCTTAAGGAGCCTATCTTTCAGTGAGGCAAAACTTCCTCATGAGAAGTAGGACAGAGCTGAATGTATCAGCAGTGTGGGCAAAATCACAAAGCACAATTAGATGAGTTGCTGAAGAGTTACAGGTCAAAGGAACATAACAAGTGTTTCTGGAGAAGGAATTCTTGGTGGTAGCAGTGCAAGGAGATTTAATGCTGGGTAAAAAATAACTCTGTGTACTAAATATGTAACTGGCACTGGCATTTTCTAAATTGTACACCTTATTGTTTGGCAAAGGCACAAGAGTAGTACATAATAAATTAGGATCTAGTAGATTGCTGGTGGGACTGATGGTAGTTAAACAAGTAGCTTATAAGCTTTTTTGCCTGGATTAGAAGTCAGGAATAAGACTTGTGGTGGCATTTAATGAAAATTTGGCTTATGGAAATTTGAAAAATTGTGATATGAAATTACTGATTTTCACTTTATGTGCAAAATTTGAAATGATATGAATCTACCCAAATTCAAAAATATATATGAGATTCTTACCACTTCAACGAGGTGGGATAAGTGAATTGTACCACATCTGTTTCCACATGGTGTTGTCACTTAAGCTGGAAAACAGAAACACCCAATATTGCAGTTTTCATTTATGAGAAGTTTTTATTCCTTGAGTAAACTCCTATAGAAGTAGCTGGTGGCTGCATGACTGCTAGACTCTGCTCTCCTCCCTTTGAAGGCCTCCCTTCTATCGCATCCTCTGCCCCCCATGGCTTTTACACTTTCCTACTCCCCTGGTGCTCTCTCTACCACCCCACCAATCCCATCAGCATCTCTTTCTCAGGTTCCTCTCGCCTCATCTCCTCAGCAACTAGAAGATCAAGGGCAGGAGATGTACCAGCAGATGGAGACCAACTGCTCTCCTTCATGGCCATTACCTTCACTGGGGACCGAAAAGGGTACATTGCACGTGTCTGAGAGAACACACAAGGGAAAAGATGAGTGGACAATGTGCCAGGCATTCTAGGCCCTGTCTCAGGGAGAGCTCTTTGAAAGGAGAGGAGCCTGGTCATCTTTCTCTGACTGTTCCACTTCCCGCAGCAATTTGTAGAGGGGTCCTATAGTGCCCTTGTGATGTGGAGCTTCTTTGGATTCCATCAGCTTCAAGCTGGGACGGTAACAATGATGCCAAAAGGAAGAGATTCCATAGATTCCCAGCAGACACAAAGCATTGATCATCACATGCCAACAGAAGAAGGTGGTGATAAACATGATGTCACTGATGTCATCATCCTGCCATGGGTAGCCAGTGACTGGTCTGTACAGAATAAAGCCCCCCTGTATCAGCCAGGAGCCCATCGTCAGAAACAGAAAAGTCTCAATCAGCAAGAGGTGAAATGTGTCAGGAGTCCACAGCTCTATGGTCAACACCAGCATCAACAGGAACACCACCACGATGAGCAGATAATGAATCTGAAGCTCTATCCCGGTTGAGTCCTGGACGTGTGACATCAACAGCAGCAGGAGCACATAGAAGGTCAGGACCAGGGTACCTTTCTCTAGGACCACACACCTCTGAGGTAGCAAGTTCTTGCTCATGACATCTACACAGCCATTGAGGGTGAAGAGGATGAACATAGTGAGGTGCTGCCACTCTTTGGGGTACAGAAATCTTGGTGGGTACTTTTTGTTCATCAACACCATCCCATCATCAAGACAGAAGACTACATAAATTGTTAAGATGGAAGCAGTCACTATCTTCAGCAAACCTCCGTAGGATATTATCCACAGCCTGGCCCATATTCCCTTATGCCTGGGAGGGCATGAAGGACAGAGGAGAGAGTCATTGACTCTCATGGCCTTAAAGACCACTGTGACCTGATACAGTCCATAGGAGAAAAGATACAGCCCTGGGTATATATGCCCTATGAACTTTCCCATGAAATTATAGGTCTGTCTTCCTAAGGAGTGAGGACAAAACTCAGGACCTCACTGCTCTCCTCTCTATTGAGGGCCCTTCAAGTTGTAGGCTACGTATACAAAGCTAACTTCTACCTCTTTTTATCATCTCTCTCTGCCCACTGCTCCCAGAGAGAATTCAAAGTTCTGGACAAGAGCCTACACTTTTGGTAATGAGTCTCATTGTTCCATTCCATTCTAGTACACTGGGAACAAACTGACTTCTGCCAAAAAAAGGAAGGTGAATATTTCCTAGTATGTACCTGTGAGAATATGCACTCTCATGAGCTCTGTGTTTGGGCCTTTGAGATGCTTCTGGTCACACTGTCCCTCTCTCCCATGACCTGCTTTCTTCTGCTCCGGTCCAGTGCTTAGAGAAGCAGTAGAGTGGTGCATGAACTGTAGATTACCCAGAAATGGCCTTGGTTACTCACAAATATTTGTGTATTTTTTAAGAATGCTTAGTCACATCTTTGACCATATATTGAAAGAAAATATATTCTCCCTGAAAATAAAAATTTGTAAACATTTGGGGATGTGCTCACATACACAAATACTAAGTACCTACCTGGCCACTTCATTTCTCTGTAACAGATTTGGGGACCCACCAAGAAAGCCCCTCATTTGCCCCCAAATCTCTCTCTACTGGATAGTAGATAAACTTGAAAAACCACTTTTTGAGATGAATTTGGGAATGTTAAGGTGTACTTTGTTGTTAAAATGCAAATATTTTCAGACATAGATTCAGTGAGCTATTTATATTTAATGTGAATAAGTTCATCAACTTTATTTTTTAATTACATTTGCTATATGCCTAATACTTATAAGTAGGAAAAGTCTTCGGCAGTGGTTGATAGCCAGCTGCATCTGAGGTAATACATCCTGGGCAAGTGTCTTCATATAGAGGGATGGTAAAGAGCAAGGTACAGGGAACATGAGTCAGGCCCTTGGGCACACAGTGGTTCTGGATTTATTGCAAGAGGTACGGGGAATAAAGTTACTCTGACAATGATATAGGTGTGTGGAAGAGGAGGAAGTTCATTACTCGAGATAAAGAATGCAGACATCACAATCTTCTGCATAATCAGAGTATAAGCAATACTGTGGGGCAGAAAGGCAGCACCTATATGCTGATAGCACCCCCACTGGGGAGGAGGACTTACACCCAAGTCACAGCACTGACTCTGAGCCCTGACCAGTATCTCTCTTTCCTACACCCACTTAAGATCAGAAAACAAAAAAACAAAACAAACAAAAACAAAACCAAAAACAAAAAAAACAAACCCAGTCTGTCCTTGAGGATGAAGGCTATTTCTTGACAGTGGGAGAGTGAGGATTTGAGTATAAAAGTGCTGTACGAGAGAGAGCTGAAGATTACAGAGGGATTTGCCTTCCTTATTCCATTTTAATTTCAACTTTCCTTTCTTACACAAGTGTGGCATACATTGGCTATATTCATATCATACATTCATACATTCACTATATTCATATCCTTTTCTTCCTTTGCGTACTGATAAACTACATTTCCTACCCTGCTTTGCAATTGAGTTCTAACCAATCAGGGTATAAATGGAAATGATACAGATTACTTCCTGGTCTCACTCATTAAATTCTCCCTTACATACTCTTCCATGTTATTTTCCTTTCTCTGGCTTTAGACAAAATATCACAGCTTACTATATGTTGTTGAGAATAGAGGAACTCTAGGTTGGAAGGAACAGGTTTCCTGGACTACTCCTTCTAGGAAACCTAGACTTTTGTTCAGGAACCCTCATTTTGGACTATAAATAAACAAGGAATAAGCTATTTTTCTTGAGCTATGGAAATTTTCACATGTGTTTGCTATTGTGGCTAGAATACCCAAGGTAATGCAAAACTAACACATAGTCATAGAAAAAATTTAGAAAAATTCATAAGCAAAATGAGAGAAAAATAAGTGCCTGTAGTTCCAAACTTGATGATAACCACTGCAAAACCCCAGCTTTATGAAAGCAGGGCGGTGAAGTGGAAAAAAAAAATGACGAAACTGAGAAACCAGGATTCCAGTCTCAATGTCCACCTAATGAGTAGAACTTTGGCTTCTCTATTAATGAAAGGAAAGAACTGTGGCATCTGTATTCTTTAAGTTGAGAGAGAGAGAGAGAGAGAGTATGGATGGGGAGGAGGTGGGAGGGAAACACTTGGGGGGTTTGTATAGGGAATGATTTTGTCACCCCACAATTTTTCCTTTTTAGCTAGTGGTCAAAACACCCAGAAAACTTCAAAGAGCTGGAATGGTCAAGGAGAGGAAGTATAAAGGGAAGCAAGAGTATGACATTGTGATACAGCAGACTAGGGAGGAGAAATCTCTGGTACTCTCTGTGGTTCTTGTCTTGACCTGGGGAATTGTTGAGCTGCTCTGAGGGGAATTGGCTCTCAGTACAGCAAAGCCCATTTCTCCACTGAGTATCTACCATCATCAAAGAGCTGGTGTGTTTTTCTGAGTAGCTCAATTCTACCTAGAATGGACTGCAGGTGTCAGAAAAGACTGGGGTCACTAGTAGTGTTATCTCCAGTACCTCAGTGCTGTGGGTCTAATAGACATAGTAGACATTGAGGGACAAGCAGATACCACTTATCTCCTGACCACCACATTTTTTTTTTTTTTGATTTGCTGTGGAAAAGTAAATTGGGCTATTTTTATTTTTTTATTTTTTAAATATGAAATTTATTGTCAAATTGGTTTCCATACAACACCCAGTGCTCATTCCAACAGGTGCCCTCCTCAATACCCATTACCCACCCTCCCCTCCCTCCCACCCCCCATCAGCCCTCAGTTTGTTCTCAGTTTTTAAGAGTCTCTTATGTTTTGGCTCCCTCCTTCTCTAACCTCTTTTTTTTTTCCTTCCCCTCCCCCATGGTCTTCTGTTAAGTTTCTCAGGATCCACATAAGAGTGAAAACTTATGGTATCTGTCTTTCTCTGTATGACTTATTTCACTTAGCATAACACTCTCCAGTTCCATCCACGTTACTACAAAAGGCCATATTTCATTCTTTCTCATTGCCAATGTTTATAGCAGCACTTTCAACAATAGCCAAATTATGGAAAGAGCCTAAATGTCCATCAACTGACCACCACATTTATCTTCAGCTTTGGCCATTCCTGGCAGCTGTGAGGCAGTGATCAGAGGAAATGAGAAAATAACAGTACTGACCCAAGAGCAATGCGAGGTTGAAAGTGGCACGTATGGGGACAAAGCAGCCCCACTTCAGGTTCCGTCAGGTCGCCACCTTGACCAGGCACCAGCACTACATTTTGTTCATTAAAACACGAACATCCTGATTTCAGACTCTGAAGATGGGAATCACCTATCCCAAACCAGGTGGTACACTGCCCACGAGTAGCTGAGAAGGAAGCCAAAGTTGGTGAATAATTAGCAGAACTGGCAGACAGCTCCAGAGTCTGTGGACAGTGAGTACCTGGACAGCTGTTTCATGAGGGGAACTTTGCTTGATCACAGGAGCCCATGGAGGTCCTTCATGTCCTGGCTGTTCCACACTGAGACTCCCCTCAGACCTGACCTCCTCCCACCACCCCCATTCTCAAGGGGCCTCAGGCACAGCCACTGCCACTTGTCTGGTACAAAATGCCGGAGTGAGCAAGAATGTCCTCAGGAAGTGAGTGAACATGAATTTTCTAAATGTTGTGAGATAATCTTGTTCTCACAAAGTTTCCAATATAATTAAATGTGTAGTACACACAGATACACACGTACATAGAAAATATACAAATATACATTACAGAATTGTGTAGAATTAGTAAATGTCATGCTGAGTGGTGTGAAGAGGGCATTTCAGATTTCAGTGACAGGAGTTGTTCGTGAGGGAGGTTCAAGTTTAATCAGAATTATCCTTAGATATGTCCTAGAAAACTGCTAGTAACTCAGGGAAGGTTTTAGTGCCATGCTTTCAAAAGCCTTTATACCAACTTTTAAAGAATCCTTCATTTCTTATCATTGCAAGGCAGATAGGACTAAGAAACCAGGATAAATGTGTTCTAGAATGGCAGGGTCAATCAAGTGCTTGCACCATCAGTCTCTAATGCTAAGTCAAGGGCACTTATGGGAGAAGGAGTAGGACTGGGATGGGATGGGAAAAGAGGTGAGGCTGAGAACTTTGACCTCCCCAGTTCCTTAGGATCTGACTTTCTGATGGAGGAAACCTCTCTTCCTACCTGAGAGAAAAAGGCTTCCTCTGCATGACCACCTTTCAATGACTGTACCAGGGAGAGTCCTGTCCAAGGGGATGCCAGTCTCTGTAGGACCCACTCACATCACTCTTAATGCATCCATGTCCGTAACAAGACTAGCTCTCAACAGAGCCCAGACATGTATGTACAGGACCTAGTCTGAAGTGGGAGAGGAAACCAATACACCAAAAGAATTACAAGGCCCCACAAATCAGTTTTGGCAAGAGTGTGGGGAGCATGGATATTTGACCACGTGAAGTGAAATTGGATTGCTGATTGAGACACAGTTATCAATATGAGTTTACTTTCCTGCGGTTCTAGGTTTAATATGCAGCTTAAGCATCTGGGAATGATGTAAAAAGTCAACTAGGTTGGCCAATTGAAACCTGGACTTCATGGTGGCTTACAGTCAGTAAAGTTGACATACTGGAATTTCCCTGGCAGACTCTAAAGAAACACTGCCAAATGGAACTTTCTTCAAAGATGGGAATTTTCTATAATCTGTGCTGTCTGATATGATAACTCCTAGCCAGCTATGGCTATTGAGAACTTGAAATGTGGCCAGTGCAACTAGGGAACTGAATTTTTAGTTTTAGTGATTTAAATTTAGCCACATGTGGATAGTAGCCATTGTATTGAATGATGCAGTTCTAATATAGGGAGTCTGAAGGCTCAGGGAAATGGCAAGGACACTTCATTTTTTATCTAAATTCACTCTGGCTGCATCCCACAGGTTTTGATATATGGAGTGGTCTCATCACCACTTACTTTTCAATAATTTTTACATGTCTTTTTATTTTCTACTTAACCCAAAAGTTATCTAGGAAAACATCTTTTAATTTGCACATCCTTTTTAAATTATCTTTTTTATGTTGATGTTATTTTTGCTTTTTACAAATATGTTGTTCTTCATAAATATTCCATGAGAAGTATTTGAATATTCTACATTCCTATTAATTTTTATGTGTTATTTATGTGGTTTTTATGAGGACTACTGAGACGGGTGTATTATGTTTTTTTTTTTTTTTTT